AACCTTGTCGAAACGTTGTACATTTGCTGTTATGTTAAACTTGTATTAAAGTTCTTCTTCATTACCCATTCAGCTGTCTCCAGCCATTAGAATCCAGTTGAAAAGCCAAATTATTTTTCTATACTTGTATCACAATAGTATCAGTGAATAATTCACTTAATGTTGCCTCGTGGGTTACCACAGTTGTATCCTAAGCTTTCAGTAATTGTCTTCTTTTCGTCAAAGTCTACACTGGTGGATTCAATTAGTTTAGAACACCATTTGACAAGACAAATTTTTCTCCTTATCTCTATCAAACTGTTAATCTCACTTTAACATATCAACCATTAAAAGTTATTCACTCTCACAATGGCTAACTTGACATTTTCTAACTTTTTTCTGACTGAACTTCTCTTTCACTTGACTTTACTTTTATTCCGCTCCTGCTTGTTTAGTCGCCTCTATTTATATTTTTATCACTGAGGCCTCTAGAATTTTTTATAGCCTCGACACCAATGAATTGCAAACACAAAGTACAACTCTTACCGAGTTACATAATGAAATTAGTCATAACTATTGCCTTCAAAATAATTGCTTTTAACTCTCATGTTATGAAAAAATTAAACAATCATGAAATATTAACTCACAAAATAAATTAGTTAATAATACCTACATTAAACAGTCTTGTATATCCAACAATGTCTAAATTGAAAAAATATGAGTATAAGAATTCTTTTTGTATTGATAAAACAAATGATGAGTAGTGTATTATATACAAAAAGATTGATTTATGAGGTGAAATTGTGCTGGTACTCACTGGTACTGAGTACCAGAACTTATTTCTTAAGGCAGTACTAGTATTGGGACCAATTTGAGCTGCTTTGTTGTTTTTTATGTTTACATATAGATTTTTTTTATTTTTCATAAACAGGTCCACTTTAACCAGCTGAGTAACTCTACTTTTGAGAATTTCACCCCAGTCAAACACAATATACTTGTCTATATAAATACCCAATTTTATATTTAAACATTACCATAAAGTACATTTACATGTATTAAAATAAATATACATGAAATATGAATATTTTATAGTACTATGGATGTTTTGTGAAAAATCCAACAGTATTTGAAAAAAATGTGTATATTTATGTTTGTTTTTAAGCTGACAATTATGTAAGTGCTACTTTAATCTTCACAGTAATTAAAGGAATGCTTTCTTTCTGAATATATAGTCCTTTGTAAAGGCAAATATTTATTAAGGAGATTAAGTATAATTAATATGCGATATTTATCATGAATGAAAGACCTATTTCTGTTTGTGGCAATTTGTCTTATAAAGTAGTGTTTTCAAAGCCACTTAAATGTAATAATATCCTGCATGTTATTTGTTTTTTTTATAGTAATATGAACATTGTACATTGACAAGGGAAACCTTTTTTTCTTTTTTAATTACAGAACATCTGGTGATTCTCTTTATCAAATTCTGGGACTTCCAAAAACAGCCACGCAAAGTGATGTAAAAAAGACTTACAGGAAAGTATGTTTATTAAAAATATATTTAGCTTAGGAATTACACCTTTGTTTTTGAACTTGAAATATGTTGTAATAATCAGCACAATTTAAGCCCAGTCTTCTATCACATTGAAGAGCAAATCATCAATACTTTAAAAGGACATTTGATTATACATACTGTAATACTGTAGAAAATCTAACTTTTATAGAATCATAAACTACATGAAATTTTCATATAGTTAATGGTAAAACCTGCTAAAATGACTATATATAATCATATTGTTTGCATATACAAAAATTATTTTTTGAATGTACAGCACCCTCTTCAGAGAAAATGCAAATATCTGCAATTTTGTTGCTGCTTTCCCCATTGACCTGAAACTGATGTAAAAAAAAGTCCATTATTCTCTATATATTTTATATTTCAATGATATACTGCTTGATTACTAACTGTACTGATGTTTAGTCACTGAATTTGCCAATATTCCTTCGGCAATCAAGTAGAGTGATTTTCATGTTTAAATCTAAGGTAATAATTAAAATGTGTCTGAATCATGAAAAACCTGGTATTAAAATTACAATAACTTTTATGACAAACTAAGGTATTAACTAAAACTTCTTGCCTGTCTCATGAACACTTGGTTATAACAAAATTTCTATCTGTTCAAATCAAGAAACATAAGCTGTAACATTTTATTAAACATACTCTCAAGTTGGTAAATATTTTTTATTTCAGTTAGCTTTAAAGTACCACCCAGACAAAAATGAAGGTAATCCAGATGCTGCTGAAATAGTAAGTAGTAAACATAAATAGAAATGCTGGAAATGTAAAAATATTCAATATGTTGATATTAAATAATTTAAGAAAATATTCAAGATATAACTGTACCAAAAGTAAGTGTTATATTATAGTTTAATCTGTCTCATCTTCTGCTTTAATCAACAAGTACACATCATAATTTATATAGGTATAACTTGAACAATCTTTAAGTTTTGGTACCACATAAACTGCGAGGAATAACAGCCTATATAACAGTTATACATTGTAAGCATTATGATTTGGTTGATAAAGTCTGTTTCTCATTACTTCAGTACAATTAATTATAAAAATAGATGATGCTCATGTTTTTATGTATTATTAGAACATACATGCATCCTCCAACTGGTGAGACAGTCTGTTAAAATTTCAGTGATGGAATCACATACTTTTGTTGTACCCTCTAGTTATTGAAGTTCACCAGCCTCTTCAGTGAAGCTTGACTGGTATACTCTAGAGTTTCAACCATACAAGTAATCGTAGAATTGTTTAGCAAAGCTTTCCTCTTCTAGTGGTCCCTTCTTGATGATTCATTAGTTCCTCTGTGTAGATGTTAGAAACATAGTTAATGAGTCAGTGTAGACCATCTATGATTTGAAACGGGACCTCTCTGACATAAGTATTCAGTATGAACACGGCAACTCCACTTGAGTAAACCAGGATTCACAGAGATCTTCCTTTAAAGCTTGAGAGGAGAATTCATAGTTCTCATCCTAAATGAAATAAGCAGCCTTAGTGAAGAAGTTGACCACAAAGGATCAGTAGTTTGATGCAAAGCTAAAAAACTCATACCCTTCTCCTTGGATGTAGTTCTTGTAAAGATCAAATCATTCAGTATTTATTTGATGTTTTCCAACTATGTAGGCTAAAAACTCAAACTACATCGTCATCACTTTTTCAGCCATTGAATTGTTATTTTCTGTGCAAATTTCATGTTGGTTGGGGTGTATGTTAAACATCAACATATTCATATAAGAGAGAAACAATGTTCCTTTTAAAGGCTAGATTAACCCTACTGGAAGCCCAAAAAGTAATGCATTTTTAGAAGCTTATTTAAAGAATTTCGTGTATTTTATGCAAATATTTTTAAAAACATTGGTTTGTTTAATCAAATACTAAAGTTACCACTTTAGTTTGTACACTTTATTTTTAAGTAGCATATCAGTTCTTTTTCTGCCAATGGAGTGCTCAATGTCAGGTGAAGTATAGCTTCCATATGTCACTTTACTGGAAGTAAAGGAGATGTAGAATGTGTTGTTGAAGATTACTGCAGCTCCAAAACCCTTTGAGGATTCGGTCCTTAATTGGCAATATTCCTAATAGTGTGTAGGATTAGTTTCTTAAGCATGGGTGAGAAATTGCAAAGTCCAAAAAGTGCATATTGAACATACACCCCTGCTCATGCCAAAAGCAGTCTCGGATCTACTGACTTTATGAAGTTTCACTGCCAAAACCTGGGCATCAAATTATATTTAACAATATAGTCCTTGAAATGTATGCTATTTTCAACTGTAATTTGCTGAAAACCTGATATATCACTAAACATAACAGGAATAACATTACATTGATAGAATATGCTTTTTATTCCCTTTGTGGATCAAAGAACTTGGTAATGATTACCTAACTATATGATTAGGATGCTTCAGACATATGTAACATTTCCTGAGCTAAAACGAATAATGAATTTTGCTGTTCAAATATTCATTATCTATATTCAAATTGCACTTGAGTATTCAACAATAAAGACAATGAAATTATCATACTTCTTTTTGTATATTTGTTGTGTCATGTTTATTGTAAATTGAAAGCAATTACTTATAATACCTGTAATAAAATTTACAGGATGTGTAAAAGTGTTCAAAGATACTAATCAAAATTACTTACATTCAAGATTATACATAATCCAGTAACTTTGCTATGTCACACTAAGCCCCAATAATTTATTTTTAAAAATGTAATTTTAATTCATGCTTGGTGCTTTTAGAAGCATTTACTTCCAGTTAGCCCCATTTCTGTTTATTTATAGTTAACATTGTTAGTTTCTTCATTTGTAGATATGAGACATAATGACAAGTTTTAATGCTTAATATGTCAAGCAAATATTTGTATCTGTCATGTGGTCCAAGTTGTTTTACCTAAATGATTCGGAGGTTGTTATTGCTAAAAATTGCTTGAGCTTTTCATTCTAGAATCAAAGTAACATCCACGCTGTTTGCAACACTACAAAAGTCCTTGAAAATACATTAACAAATTGTGACTATTTGAATAGTAAATTAGGTTTGAATATTCATTAAAACATATTCTTATTTTCATATTCATTTAATCTCAAACCATTTCAAAGTTTATTGAAAATCTATTTGATCATTGAGATACCATACATGAGAAGGTTCATATACAGATATGTCTGTATCTATACATATATTAGCCAAATGTCTGTCACACTCTGAATCTTCTGAACAGTTAATCATAAGAAAAATAAAAAAAGATATATCTAAATGCTTCTATTCAAGAGTACATTACAGGAAAATTATTCATTTTTTTGCAATTCCTAAAATTTCATATTGATATTAACATTGATCTGTTAGTCTTCATGTGTTGAACAGTCATTCTGAGAAAAACTTATTAAGAACAAAAATGTTTTTTTGTGTGAGGGAATTTCATGAAAAAAAAATGGGACTTCCTATGTCGACTGGTTGAAATAGATATTTCGATGACAGGAGTATGAACAGAAAAAGTGCATAAAGAGAGGAATGTGTTTGACAATATATTTGATGTTGTCTATTGCATTGAAACCCAAGTATCTTTGCCAAGTAAAATAAAAAATGTTTGTGCATATTTTAAATGAAAATGGAACCTATTAGGATAAAATGTTATAAGAATTGAAACAAAAGCTCATTCATAAATCATTGTTTAGATAATTCTGGTGTAAAGGTTCATACAATAGACTTGTGTTAATATTTTTGACACATTCATATCAATACTCTTTTCTTGGTTTCTATAATACTAGTAATTATATATATTACCCAATTCACCAAACAGCATGAATAAAGATTTTTTTAATTGAGCTAGTTGTTTTATTATGATGTATTCCAAGCATTATTTAGTTCTTAAAGCTTGATTTTGTTCAGTACAATTTCAGCTTTCATGTAATAACATTCACTAGAATTAAAAACTTGCATTTACTTGTAGAATATTTATTATATAGTTTGCTTGTTTTGTTTCCTATTTTCAAAATAACATGAAACTAGAACAGGGGGATTTGATACAATTGATTATTTATGAGCAGCAATTACATTGATTAGTGTCATGTAAACTGATTAATCAAAATTACAATTTTATTGCACAGTCAATCAAAATTACAATTAAATTAATTGTCATGAAAATAATTTTAAATTAGTGTTTTTAGTTTTTACTGTTCAGGAATTGATTCCCATTAACACCAGACTTACTTATCCTGTCTTTGCTATGGCAAAGCCACTAAGGCTGGCAGTTTTTTGGCAGTACGTGTCACCATCTTTTTTTTTTCTTCTTCTTGAACTACCAGCTAGAGGAAAAATAACTGACTGTCAGCACATGGCAGCAACTTTTTTTTTTCTGTTTTGAACAGCTGACAAGAGTGAAGGCAATAGCTTGTAAGTACCATGGTGTGAAAAATGTAATTGATTAATGGAATTATCGTTTAATCAATTAGTAAATATCACTAACTGACCAGCTCTACATGAAAATTAACCTTTTAGTTAGTGTTATACACATACTCGAAATGATTGCAGTAGAGAATTGTTGAGCACATGAAACCCTTTAAACTGCATTCATCCATCAAGATTTGTGGTAAAAAAAGTGACTGTCATATACACACACTACTCTACATTGGTAAGTGTGTGTGAACTTAAAAAACTATATAACATAGTTAGCATGAGGCCATGCATTTAGCCAAACTATTCATAATTTGGAATGGAACTTTATTTTTTATAAGGCATAAATATATATATATATATATATATAGTTTTGGTGTTCTCTGGTTCCTATAGCCCTGAAAGGACAAGTGTCAATCAAAATATTACCATACAGCACTTAACACTATTGTAATCTATGTGATGCTTCAAATGGCATTTGACCTCTTGGGACAGAATGACATTGCCTGTAATGTTGCTTTATTAGCCATAACCTATGAACTAAATTTTTTCTCCACCTGCATTATATTGCGTTCAGTAAGTGATACTATGTATGTCTTGTTGTACACGATGTGTAGATGAAATTTTCAAAGTTTAATGTAGTTGTCAGGTTTTAAAAATAATATATATATATATATACAAGTTCTTTTTGCCATTTGTTGAAATAAATAGCTTTTATGCATATTTCTTAATAGTATAAATATATACTATGTTGCTGTTAGGCTTAGGATTCTTTTACAGTAGGTGTCTGACTTGTTAGTGATAAATTCAACTCTATTTATTTCTTTATTACATAGCCATCCAACCACTTTCTATATTCTCGACACCAATTAGTTATTAACAAGATCTTCTACAATCGTCTGCTTTTAACTCTTATTATAACAAATCTTAAAAATAATAAAATATTCACTTGCAAATATAAATTAATCAACAGTACTTAAACCAAACAATCTTTTTATATTATGATAGTAGTCATTAGTGCACAAATAATACAATAGGACTGAAAAATACTTCCTCCACTGTTAAACAACTGTTTATGCATTTTATGAATGTTCTTTTCATGCAATACTTTCTCAGTTGTGTTACCTTCAATTACACAAAAATTCATGAACTTCTTTGTTGTATTCATACAAAAAGGTTATTAATAGTTATGGTGCTATGGTAAGTTACCTATATTTTCATTGTGTTAGCGTAAAGCCTATAAAGAGAAAGTAATTCAGATGCTGTTAGCTGACTTCATGTTATTATATATGTAAATGTGTATTTATTATGTTATGAAAGTCAAGGAATGAAAAAATATTTATACTTCATTGTAATGCTTACAAAACTCTGAAATGCATGTAATAAGCAAAAGAAACCTTAGAAAATACATCTTGATAGTAGAAAGATTGATCTTTTATTATTATTAACTTATTTTTAGGTATGTTACTGAAACTAAAATATTTCTATGCTTTTTTTTTTCATGTTGATGATTTCAGTTTAAAGAGATCAACAGGGCCAATTCTATCCTCAGTGATCTTGCCAAAAGAAATATCTATGATAATTATGGATCCCTTGGCTTGTATATTGCAGAACATTTTGGAGAAGAAAATGTTAATACTTACTTCATTTTCACAAGCTGGTGGTGTAAGGTAAATATATCCATATATTGGTCCTCCAAAGTTGCTGATCTAAAATATGGTTTTTCATTATCCCGTTTAAAAACGAAAATAAATTGTAATAATTTCTAAATGAAAATACCCGTGTTTTTTTCTTTAATTTGTAACAAATGTGAAATCTCATTTGTATTATTAAGTATTAAAATGGTTTTTAAGTAGATTTTTCAAATATCAAATGATTCCATGATCATAAAAAAATTTGGTTTGTGAATGCACTTCTCTGTTGTTAGTGTGACTAAAGTTGTTAACCCTATACATATGGCTTGGTCAAAGTTAGTGTCATAACCTTTTACAGAGTTACATTCGAAATGTAATTAAAAACTTTATGATCAATGGATGTTAATAAACTTGGCATCAAAAATATAATTTATAATTAAAATTTTTTATATTACCAAAGTTTTAGTTTAAAAAGGAAATATTTTTTTAAAATTCCAATTTTCACTTCTCAGTGTCATGTTACATACCTGTGCATTGAATGCTCTTAGTATACTTTTTATATCTTCCCTAATATGGTATTCAAAATGTCTAACTATTTAGAAACACAAACTGCACATAATAATAAGCTGGAATATAAAATTTGAACCTCATACCTTCTCAATTTGCTTAAAGATCAATAAATTTGTCAAACCCACCTGTTCAAATCTGAGCAGATAACAGAATTTTTTAACTTATTTATAGCCTAGCTAGGAAGCCAGTTAAATCATAGTAGTTTGGGGACCTTCCATGTTAGTGTCTGATTTATGTTTATTTTCTAAAATATATATTTGAAAGCTATATTAATTTTTATTTGAACAACTAACTTAGTGAAAAAAAGTAAAGTTTACTAGTGAGTGCAAAAATTTCATGAGTCACACACCCTGCTCATGGTGTTTAAGACAAATGGCCAATGGGGGCCCATTATCATTTATTATGTTTGACAGATCCAAAATACAGGCAAGAAAATTAAAATAAAACAGATGGAAAAAGATAAACAGTCAAAATTATAAATATATTAAAATTAAATCTTCCAAGATGATGCATTCAAAGAAGAAGAAGAAAAGGTATTGTTTATTTTATTTCATGTTGTTCAGCTTGTTATTTCAGCAAACATTGATAGTTTTACTATAGTTAGTGTTACAGTGGAGGAAATAACAGATACAAATATTAAGTTTTACTAAAAAAAATTATGTTCTTTTAGGAAATTCTAATGGTTATACAAACGTAATGTTAAAACTAAAAGATTAGAATAAGTATTTTTATTCTCCACATGCAAAACATCTTTCATTCTGTCTAGTCAGAGTCTGAGGCAAACTTAATTAGAAAAGGCTCTGTAAATTCACAGCCAAATCTTTAGTTAAATACTGTATTGAAACATGAATTTTTTTTGTATAAGCTTACCAAATCTCATACAAATACACTTATTAAATTCAGAATTATAGTAAACATTACCATGTATAGCTTCTCAGAAACAAGTGGACTGACACTGTACTTATAGGTTTAAATATTTTTCTCTATTATAGTAGGTAATGAATTTTTATTTTTTTTATTTCTGAACTGGCATGATTTCCATATTGGAAAAATTCCATATAGTGTTAAACTTTAAGTTGGAAAATAAGATACTAATAATAAGAAAAGTAATAGTTTTTCATAAATTGTGTAAGTTAAAATTTGGAAATTTATATATATATATATATATATATATGCATACACACACACTGAGAAATGTGGGAGTTTTGGTAAGCAGAGTGAGACCTACATACGTGAAAAGAAACCTGTGAAGGTTGAATATATCCTACATTGTTTACTTCAGGATAAATTAACCAAATCATTTAACATAGAAAGCTAAAATATATAAACATTGATAACTGAATGAATAGTTTAGAAATTACAAAACTGCAATGTTAAACTTGTATACTTTATGTGTAAAAGTTATTTATGTGTACTTTGCATGAACTATAGTTATTGTTGTTACTATAAACATTTAACACATCTTTCTGCAGGCATTGTTTGTCTTCTGTGGAGTCATTACTGGCTGCTACCTTTGTTGTTGCTTTTGCTGCTGTTGTAATTTCTGCTGTGGCAAATGCAAACCACGACCTCCAGAAGATACAGGATATTACCATAACTTGAAGGTAATATTCATACTAAATACTACCAGTTATTGAAGAGTAACCTATTCCAGACGGGTCTCAGGTCAAAGGCCATGTCATCTCGTTTGTTGACTCGCAATCAAAATTTTATTGAACTACTATTTCATGAATTTATGTCAATAAGTTTGGTATCAAACTGTAGATTATAATTCAGGTTTTAGTATTATACATTATTTTATTTCTTAATTTAGAAGTAAATATTAAAAACAGTTAAACATTGTTTTTTGTATGTCACATGGTATGTTGAATGCAACACTGGTTCAAATTAGATGTTTGTGATGTAAAAATACTAAGTCTGTAGTTTCGTACAAATTAGGAACTCAAATTAGCTATATTGACAAGCTAGAATATAAAATAAGAACCTCATATCTTTTCTATTTGCTGAGATATCACTCATTTACAGAATCAAACACAGTGGCCCCTGCTCACCTCTTTCCATTTTTGGAAATGATCCCTTATATACACTTAATTCAATATATGACATGTGAATAACTATTCAAAGGCTCAGAATGTCCCCCTAGTGGCTTTCTCAACCATTTTCATGAGTTAGGACACCATCTTGTTCTTTCGAACCAAGATTTCAAGGAGGTCTGTTGTGTCTTTAGTTTACTTGAAATTTCGTATTTTTTTAGACCCAAATACAGCTTAGTTACTAAGCTTGCTAAATTATACTGAAACTCTATGGTATCGATATAGTAATTTATGATTTTTTGGTTATTCCACTATATATATGAAACCTTGTTTGCTTTTCTTTTGTTTTTACTATTCTATGTTTTAAGAAAAATATATTTAAGAACTCATTTCTAAATAGTAATAATCTGTATACATATATAATGTATAATAATGGAAATGTAAGTGTTTTTAACAAAATACTAGTCTACCAAAACACAGCCATGGCAGGTCACTTTGTAAAGACTAAAGGTCAGTTTTATATTATTGGATACGGTAACATGAAAGCATTTGTGCTGCATCATTGTAATTTCTGTATTGTTGGCTAATGGCTGAAAGGTCAGTATAATAAAAATAATAAATATATACAAATGTGTAATGTTATGAGATTTAAGCTATTTGGTCTAAACATTTATGTTTTCAGGTTATAATTTGTTATTATTCTAGAATGAAAGAGGCATAACTTATATTTATTTATTAATTTGTTATGGTGATTACAACATCGGTCAAATCTACCAAACCTGTACAGAGATTCATTAGTGAAAATCACAAATAAAATATAAAGTTGTTTTCTTAAAAAAATATTTGATAACTGTCTGGACATTATAAAG